AAATTTTATTATAATTATATTTATTATAATTATATTTATTATAATTATATTTATTATAATTATATATATTATAATTATATATATATAAAAATAATAAAAAATAATAAAATAAAATTTTTAATTTTCTAAAAATTTTATAAAGAGTTTATAAAGATGTAAATTATAAATATTAAATAGTTTACACAAATTAAATGTTCAACATGCTATGTATATTACGATTATCGGTTATGTTTCGATTACTTTTGTCAATTTTTTACATATACTTACATATTATTTAATTCCAGTAAATGAAATTGCTTGAATAATTCTTAATATAATTCGATCATTTATTGAGTCATTTTCAAATTTCGAATCATCATTGTTAAAAACTATATTTATAAGCTATATATAAAACATATTCACATTTTCAATATAATTCTTATACACTTCTTGCACGCTTGTCAATTTCTTCTGAATTCACGAGAATCTTATAATTCATCAAAAAAAGAAAAAGGAAAAGAAAAAAAATATTAAGAAAAAAGAATCAATATTGAATTTGTTCCAGACAAACAAACGAAAACAGCAGACAGCAAGCAAACAAAACGATTTTCATTGTACCATTACGATCAGGTTGCACACGAGCATAGTCGCGAGACACGCACGTGCGTGCATGGTTGGTTGTGCGCTTGCGTTTTGTAGTGGCTCCGCGCGCGGCGAGGCGCGGCTGGTAATACAGAAAAGCCATGGTCCGATGGAACAAAAAGAGCAGAAGGAGAAACAGGAGGAACAGAAGCGAGCTCGTCGCGAAGGTAGAACGCGCGTGTACCGCGTGCACTTAGTTTATCGTGTATCCAGAAAGAGAGAAAGACAGAAATAGAAAAAAAGAGAAAGATAAAAGAAAACAACGAGCACGACTCTCAGAGTCTCGAACTCGAGAAGTCTTCGCGAGTCCGGCGAACCGACACACCGCTCACCGATTCCAAAGTCCGTCGGTAGGCTCAGTTGTCTCCGAACCCCCGTACTGTTCGGATGTAGCTACTTTTCGAGTTTTATTTAAGTTTTTTTCCACGTTTACGAAATTTGCTTGTTTCGTCGTTGTTCGCTGTATTCTTGTCTCTGAATCCATCTTATTTTTTGAATTTATGTTCGTTTTTCACGGACTCGTGTGATCGTTGTGCGGTGGAACTCAATTTTGAAGAAAAAGGAAAAATAAAAAAGACAAACTTGATACGAACATTTTACGGAAGGAAACACAAAAGGAGAAAAGTTTTTGTTCCGTGGTTGTCAATAATTCGCTTTTACTAGAATTGTTATTTTTTTTTTATTCACTTTTCCACGGTTACATTTGATTGCGTGCAGTCAATTAGAAAAACGAGAAAAGAAGGCAGAGCGCTGGAGCGGCGAAGAAATCGAAAGAAACTTGAGGAGAAGAAAGAAAGAAAATCTCATCGTTTGAACGAACGAATAATCGAGCATCCTTAACACGTAAGCAAACATTTTTCTTTTATACATTTTCTTTATTGATTTTTGATAGATTTCGAAAAATTCCTTAATTACTATTAAATCAATTGATTTTTTTCTCAAGCAATTGAATCAATCATTTTCTCGTTGTCCATTTCTTGGTTAGTTAGGAAACGTATCACAAGGAAGTATACGCGCTCAAGCCATGCACATGTACAGTTATTTAATATTTATCACTGGCGACCTCATTTATTTTAAGTTATCGGATATCGGTATTCTGCTTGAGTTCGCGCGCGACACCAATGCAACTGTGGAAAAAGCTGATGCGAGAAATCGGATACGAACGAAAATAGTGGTCTGCCAAAGGCAGAAAGTGTAACGTGAAATTGTCATCGGTATATACTTATACGCTGTGTGACACGCTCATAAAAGTGAATTTAAAAGTCCCGGTCAATTATTATATTGATGTATATGTAAGATTGACTTCTTGTATTTCAGTAGATCCGTGATCTATATTTATCTATTATAACTTATATAATTAAAATTATTCCATCTTTATTATATTGGATCATTGAATTCAAACGAACGGTAATTCAAAACAAATAGACATTCTGCTAAAGAAATGAAGTTTTCATTTAAACTTTACAATTAATTATTTTGTGATCTGATAGTGATTTAAACATCATGTCGAACGATGTGAATATTCGAGAAATAGCAATACGAAGATAAACAATCATATAAAGAGCATTTCTCAAGTGAAATGAATTTGAAATTCTATTTCATGTCGCGTTTTCGACGATATTTGGAAATACAATAGCGACATCTTGCTTCAGATCGTATATGCACAAATTAGGTTAGATGATATTGTAAATGATTTAGAAGATTGTGAATTTGTTATTAATTTGTGTATAATAAATAATAAAGTTTGATAATAATTGTGAAATAAATCATATAGAAGTGACAAAATTTGGATATTTATGCTTTTTAAATTAATTCGTTGATTTATTTTTTTACGATTCATTCAAGCCAAACTATGCAACAAATTAAAGATAAATGGAAATAAGAAAAATCAAAGAAATAGAAATGAAATTAATGAAAATAATTAAACTTTAAATACTTCTATGCAAAATAATGAAGGTAAATAAAAAAATTTTTTACAAATTTAAATCAGTATAATTTTATGTTATATAGAGCATAGAATAGAAAATGTAATGTAATATAAATATTATAAGTTATAGATAAATTTAAAGATAATAATTAAGCAAATAATTTCAGCAATGATAAAAATTTTATTAATGAAGATAAATAAAAATGAAATTAATGTAAGATTCTAAATAAATCTATATTATTCAGAATATTATAAACAAAAATCATAAAAAAATATATTATACATAGCATTATACAGCAAAGAAAAAAATCTTTAATAAAATATCTAATAAATATCAATAAAATATCTTAAAATATCTAGTTAATTAATATCTAGTTAAATTATGTATAACATTAAAAAAAATAATTATTTTATTTTTTAAAATATATATATATTTAATGTAACATAATATAACATAATATAAATATAAATTAATTTATGAAAGAAAAAATAAATATTATAAAAAAAAGGATTGAATAGCATATGGAAATAACAATGATTTATAATAATAAATAAAATGAGTTTGCATCAAATGTATACTGTAAAAAATTAAAATAAAACATGATAGAATCTATATGTAAATATAATAAATAAATTTTTAATTGAAAGTTAATTAAAAAGTAATTGAAGAAGTAATCAAGAAAATGTATAGAAGATAAAGAGAAAATAGAAGAAGATATAAATTGTTATAAAACATGATCATTGTTATAAAATATTGATATTTTGTACGCGATTTCGTATATATATACGGCAATTTTGGTACATATCATCTCTTTGAAACATAATTTCATCTAGATGTTATGTTTATTTTATTAAGAAAGAATTTCGTGATTACATAAATTATAAACAGAATAATATAAATATATAGCACATTCATATAAGTTTTTATATAAATATTTTTTAAAATTTTTCAACTGGTATAAAAATACAAATACAAGCATATTCCATGCAACATCTTTATGAAATTATTGCTCTAATTTATGGAATTATCGTGATTTTATTCTTTATATATGTAATGTTGAACTAAATGAGCTATGACAAATCATTATATCGAGAAAAAAAACATTTACCTGCTATGACTCCTAATATAATGTCTAATTGTTTCGAACAGTGACACAGAACAAAAGAATGCAAATGAACAGTGTTTCGAGTTATGTTTCTGTTAGGTACAGCTGCGTTGAATTATCTTTGAAATTATGATTTTATTCAGAATATCGAGATTCCAACGAATCAAAAGTCAGCTAATGTTTTGTCTTTGTCTTTAATTGATTAAATTAAGACGAAAAGAATACAGGGTAAACAATAAAAAGGTATAATTTAAATACCATTCAATTTAATGATAATTGATCGATATTATGTTTTTGCTTCTATCTAATTATAGTTTATGATTCGTAATTTTTATTGATTACAATTTGATTTGAATTTAATTTTGAATTTTGAATTTTTATATTAGCACATTCATAAATATATAATTTATAAAAATAAAAAATAAATTATAAATATGCTATATTATAAATATATTATATATATTTGATTTAAATTAATTATACTTATTTATATTATCTTATATTTATATCTTTTGTTATTATATTATTTTATATTGTCATTTTTGATGACATTTAATAAACATGTTTTAGTGTTTTGTCCAAATTTCTAATTTGAAATGAATATACTTAACTATCATAGAAAACATTAAATGCATTTCCTCATATCATTGAATCTTTTTTTTAATCGATGCATTGCCTTTTTTTACTTCCTATGTCCGTATAAAGTCTGACCAACTTTGGTTAATCAGTATTTACGTCAATATCTTAACCTCGTGTCTCATTGTTCAAACGAAAACCTTTGTAAAAGTAGTTACAGAATAAGCATACGATCAGTAAAAGTAAAACGCATTGTGACTTGTTTAAATAGATTTACGAGCCAGGCAAAAAATCGTCTTTTATATATTCAACTTGTTCAAAATTTACTGAAAGTTCGTTACAAAGTTAACTAATCTTAATTTTTTTTTAATTCTTTAATATTAAGAAGTTAAGTATAAATGTATTACATTGATGATTAGAGTTAAAATGTTATGAAAATAATATATAGATTTAATTTTTCCATTTGAATAAAAATCAATATTAATTTTGAAAAACATTTGTATGTTCTAATAATCGCAAAAATAAAAGAACTTAATTTTAGTCTAAGTTGAACAAATTTTAATTAATTAAAATTAATTAATTTTTGGACTGATAAAAATCAGGTGATTGATCCTTATGATCATTTGTAATCCAAATTAGATTACATTCTTTAAAAATTATTTTTTTAGCAAAATTATGTATTAATTAAGGAATTATATTTATTAATTATACTATTAATTATATATAGGAATACTATTAAGGAATACTTGAAAAAGAAAAAAATTTTAAAAAGTAATTATTTTTTAATGATCTAGGATGAATAAATCAAGATCAATAAAGATATTAATGAAAACTTTTCTTGAAGTTTTCAGAATATTTTTATATATAAACATTAATAGTATTTACGCATTTTATCGAAATTTTAACAAGACTAATTTCCATTGTTATATTATGAGATTGTAACTAGTTTTGAATTCTCGTATGTAGTATGAAGACTGCATAGTAGATGCTTACGCCTTGGAGTATTTTGTTGTGAAACGATTGAAGCATTTACGAGTCGATAGTTCTACGAGGACTTTCTAATCTGCCGTATATACGTACAGGGTGTCTCGCAAGGTGTGCCGTGAATGCTGCGAGTGACAGATTCCTAAGTCGAAAATACGTCGACCAGCATCGTTTTTTCGCTATGATTCCTGAGTTTTCAGTTGCACTAAAGTATGTGACAATATTCAAAATATATTTAATTTCATTACGAACACTGCAGGTGAGAGAATTTAATTAAATATGAAAATTATTATTTTTTCTATTAATAATAATATTTTATTTTTTGCTTAACTTAAAATAGATAAAAAAAATATATATTTTAATTTGCTAAACAGTAATGATTTATTTTTAAGTTGACAATTAGTATATTTTATTTTATCGTATCGATTGTGAATTATTATCGAATAGATAATTTACTTTTTAGTTCGCGAATCTTCGAAAACATCGTATATAAATTTGTTACTTGAAGATTCTTGAATTTACTGGAACTTGACGAACCTGTTTCTCATGTCGCGACTTTTGTCGCAAATTTCTTGATTCGAAAGTACGATAACTTGTATGAATCTTTCGCAACTGCTATTGATTATGTGAATATTGTAGATATTCTAATCAAATGTATGAGAAATTGTTTGAATTTTTATAATAATTTGAAATTATATTAATTGTAATCCATTATTCAAATTATAAACGAATTTTTTTTCGGTTTGATTTATATATATATTAATCTTTCGATCTTCATCATATTGAAAGTATAAATATACATACAATTATTTCAATAAAGGCATTCAATGCGAAACGAAGTTGCATATGGTTTCAGGAATGCAGTACACGTGGAATGCCATTCAGATAAATTGTATTTTTTATTATAGGAGGGTTGGATTCTTTAAATTTTTTAATATGTTGAACGATTCGAAAATTCATCTATGAATGACTATGATGATGTACGTTTCAAATTAATAATTGAAATTGTTTCGCTTAATATTTGATAAATGGATATAAATAGATATAAATTTGTATATATATTTAGTCGAAATCATTTAAATAAAAATTTCTTAAATCGTGTAACGTCAAATTGTACGATCATGAAATTTAATTCTAAAGAATTTCAATATTTTCACAATTAAGAAAGATGACTTTAAAATATAATAATATAAAATTAATTTTGCTACAAACTTCAAATTTTCATGTTTCCAATAATCAAACATATTCTA